GGAACCTGGGTGTCTTGTTTGACACTGAACTGGCCTTTCTCCCCCACATCCGCGCCATGACCGGCATTGCCTACCACCACCTCCACAACATTGCCAGACTCCGTCACTGCCTCACCCCTCAGGCCCCCAAACCCTCACCCACGCATTCGTCACATCAAGGCTCGATTACAGGAACTCCTCCTCATCGGCCTTCCCAACTCTTCCCTTCACAAACTGCAGATCAGCCAAAACTCTGCAGCTCATGTACTCTCGGGCACCAGATTCCGTGACCCCATCACTCCCACCCTCGCCGACCCCATCACTCCCACCTTCGCCCGAACCCATCACTCCCACCCTCGCCCGACTCCACTGGCTCCCCATCCCCCAGAGGATCGAATTCAAGATCCTCGTCCTCACCTTTAAGGCCATCCATGGCCTTACCCCCTCTTACCTCTCTGACCTGCTTACTCCCTACCAACCTGCCCGCTCCCTCCATTCATCGAGCTCCGGTCTGCTCCATGTCTCCCGTCCAACCTGCCCTACCATCGGTGGCCGGGCTTTCAACCTCTCTGCCTCCACACTCTGGAACTACATCCCACAGTCCCTTTGCCTCGTTTCCTTTCTTGCCTCTTTCAAGGCCATTCTCAAGACCCTCCTCTTTGATCGTGCCTTTGGTCTCCCTCCCACCTCTCTGCCTTCCCTCACCTCTACACCACCCCTCCCCCATGCTCGGGCCCCACACCTGACTGTTCTGATCTTTGGGACGTCCTCCCGACGTGAAAGGCGCTCAATAAATGGAATTTTGTTCTTGTTGTTGTTGGTCTGAGATGTCCGTCAGCCCTCTCTGTAGCACTCGCCTCTGAGGCAGACGGCTGTGGGTTCAAGCCCTACGTGGGGGGCTTTGAACTCACAGTCTAGATTGTCGCTGCAGTGCTGTATTGGATGAGTATTTCATGATCCGAGGTGCCATCCTTCAGATGAGATGTTAAACCGAGGTCCTGTCTGCCTGTTCAGGTGGATTTCAAAGATCCCATGGCGTCATTCGAAAGATGAGCCGGTTTCTCTCTCCCACTGTCCTGGCCAACAATTCCCCCAATACAATTGGTCCCTTGCTACATAGTTATTTGTGGGGTACTGCTGTGCGCAAACTTGCTGCCGCGTTTCACCTACAAAATACACAGTCACTGCACTTTACATTATAACCTGCGAAGCTCTTTGAGACGTCTTGATGAAGTGATTGGGTGCTATATGAACAAGGATTATTATTAAATGCAAGGATTATTATTATGAAACAGATCGCTCACTTCATGCCAATTTGTAGTACAATGCTGAGCACAATTTCTATTCTTCTACCAACATAGTCACTACACTTCCTAGTGAATCCTGTGGAGTGCATTAAGCCATCTCAATGACTTGATAAGGTGTGATATCAAAATGCAAAGTTTCTTCCTCTTAGTCTTATTGATGGGCCAGACAGACAACCAACCTTTGACAACACCACCACCAAAATGTTGGCCAGTGGCTTATTCAGTGTAGCTGGAGACCAAGTAGCCCCAGGCTAGTTAGTTCAGTCAGTGGGGGTTGGAAGGGGTAGAGGGCAGGGAGAGTGGGGGAGGAAGGTGACTGAAGGCGCAATCGGAAAGCAGGGTCTCTTGAGATGTGCCCTGAAGGAGGCGAGGGAGGGGGTGAGGCAAAAGGATTGGTGGGGGTGGGAGTTCCAAAGGCTGGGGTCAGAGAGGCTGAAAGACGACCGGTCACAGAGGTAGGGAGGACCAAGGCCGTTATGAAAATCAGTGATACGTTGTGAGTTTATTCCTTTAATTCTTAGGGTAATAGGGGACATGAGTCGGGACAAAACGCGGGACCCCCATCACCCCAGTCCTTGCCAGGCTGCACTGGCTCCCAATTACCGAGCGGATCAACTTCAAGATCCTCTCACTCGTTTTCAAATCCCTTCATGGCCTCGTGCTCCCTCCTACTCCCACCTGCTCACCTGCTGCTCCGGTCTCCTGTTCATCCCTGACCTCCTCCGCTCCACCATCGGTGGCTGTACCTCAACCATTACGTCCCAAAGCTCTGGAACTCCCTCCGCCTGTCCCTTCCTCCCCACTTTCAAATCCCACCTTGTTGATCGTGCTTACCTCCCCCCTCCCCCTGGCTCGGGGTCAGACTCCACCACTGCCAAGAGCCTCGGGATGCTACCCTGTGTGAGGGGTGCTATACAAGTTGTTGTCGTTGTCCCCCAGCCCCTCAAAAATCTGGGCTGTCCAATCGAATTACTCTGGAGGTGGAATGTCCATAGCGCCATCCACTGGCCAAACTGCTGTACACCAGGCAGCAGGTCAACCTTCTGCTCCTTGAATCACTTTCTCAAAGCTATCATTACCTACAGCTCAACTCGGGCTTAGAATCTCAACTATCCATCTCTAACTCTTTTTATATCAGTATTGTTTGGGAGGTTAGGTGGGCAGAAATGTTTCCTCCTTTCCGTATCTTTATCCAACCTCCTGCCCTCCGTTCCATCATCGGTGGCTGCGATTTCAGCCATACACCCCGAAACTGTGGAACACTCTTCCTCTATCCCTTCGCCTTGCCCCTTCCTTCCCCATTTTCAAGTCACATCTGAAGACCTTCTTCTTCAACAGTACCTACAGTTCCCTCCCGCAGACTCAGCGTCAAGTGTTCTGGGACTCTACCCTCTGTGAGGAACCCTATATAATAGTAATCATAATCCTCGCATTTGATAAAGCGCCTTATCACGTCTTCAAGACGTCTCAAAGTGCTTCACAGAATATACTGTAAAGTGAATTAGCTTTGGAGGGGGTGTCGCTCAGATTGACCAGAATGATACCAGGGCTTAAAGGGTTGAATTATGAGGACCCGCAGCAAAAACTTGGCCTCTATTCCCTTGAGTTCAGAAGGTTGAGGGCTGATCTGATTGAGGTGTTTAAAATAATAAAGGGATTCGATAAGGTAGATATAGAGAAACAATTTTCTCTGGTGGAAGGAATCCAGAACAAGGGGCATCATCTTAAAATTAGAGCCAGGAGGCAGTTTTTCACCCCAAGGCTAGTGGAAATCTAGAACTTTCTCCTCCAACAGCCCGTGAATGGTGGATCCATTAGCATTTTCAAGGTGGAGGTAGATAAATATTTGTTAGGTCAGGGTATTAAGGGATATGGGGCAAGGGTGGGTCACTGGACCTGAGCTATATATCAACCATGATCTTATAAAATGGCGGAACAGGCTCAAGGGGCTGAATAGCCTACTCCTGTTCCCGTGTCTGTATATCTGTGTATCTATATACTTTTGTGGGCAAAACGCGGCAGCCAATTAAGAAATAGGAGCAGGAGTAGGCCATTCAGCCCCTCGAGCCTGCCCCGCCATTTAATAAGATCATGGATGATCTTCTAACCTAATTCCATTTACCTGCCCTGTCCCCATATCCCTTAATCCCTTTAGTTTTTAAAAATCTATCAATCTCAGTCTTGAATATGCTCAATGACTGACTGAGAGTCCACAGCCTCTGGGGTAGAGAATTCCATCAATTCCTTCTTACCAACTGCCGTCAAACGGTGGATTTTGCAGCCGTGCTCAGCCGCCGCCACTGCTAAGCGCTCTGAAACGCTACCCTGCGTAGAGGGCGCTGTATAAGACCAAGTTGCTGTTGTTGTTGTTGCTCCTAAACCTGGCACCTTCCTGCAAAGAGCCACCAGGTGGCATCAGTGAGCATCTGATTCCTCAATGGCTGCTCTTCCCAGCAGCAGAACCACCAAAGCTCTGGATTGTCCACCTACTGATGGAGGATGTGAGTCGGGTGTAGACTACGGTGAGACAGTTCACTGTCACTTTACTGAGAATGTGTTGTTGCAGTATTAATCTTGTACTGATCTCTTCCCCAGCCTCCTCAAAAATCAGGAGCGGAGCACAGCATATTGGACCTTACATCACTGTAAAACTCCCAATCGCTGGCAAATTTAGGAGAAATACAAAGAAAAAAATCTACATTAACTTAGAATACAATTTAATTTCTATTTTTGAAAGAACTTGCAATTTTACAGTGGCTTCTCATCACGTTGAAACACCTCACAAGGAATAACTGCCAAGTGTAGTGACTGTTTTGGAAGCGACTTGGAGAGCAGGTCTCTCGTCTCACCTCAGGAGGCAGCAGTGATGGAGGCAGGTGGAAGGCAGATACAGAGCGGAGAATGAAATTAAGTCAGGAGATGTTTGTAACAGGTGGGGGGTGGGAGTTGTTCTCGCACAGAGCACACTGTATGGTGTCTTCAGCTCAGCTTCTATACTTCTGCCCTGGGGATGAGAAGGGGAGGAGAAGGTATACTCTAGACAGATAATAAAATAATAATAATAATAATCCTTGCATTTGATATAGCACTTTTCACGTTGGGAGGACGTCCCAAAGCGCTTCACAGAACACACTGTAAAGTGAATTGACTGTATATTTGTGGTCGAATGCGGCAGCCAATTGCGCACAGCAATGTCCCACAAACAGTCGTAGATTGAAAATGACCAATTTATTATTGTTTTTGGTTTTGGAGGGATTATTATTAGGCTCTGTGTGGAGTAAGGAAACTTGCCCAAGGTTTTGCCCTCTGCCTGGAATTGAGCCCAGGTCTCTCGCTTGCAAAGCGAGTGCTCTAACTACTGAGCTACAGGACTCCACTAATATAATAACCTTTGCACGAGCCGAGCCTGTCAGTCTCACTGTCTCTAAACACCCAGCCATAATAATAATAATCTTGCATTTGATACAGCGTCTAATCATGTCTTTGAGACGTCTCAAAGCTCTTCACAAGATACACTGTAAAGTGAACTGACTGTATATTTTGTGGGTGAAACGCCATGAACTGTACACACAGAGGATTGCTGGCCAGGACACCGGGAAAAACTCTCTTCTCATTTCAAACAGCGTTACAGGGTCTTTCACGTCCGCCTGAACAAGCAGACAGGAATCTGGGTTTAACATCTCACCTGAAGGATGACACCTCTGATTATGCAGCACTCCACCACCCCCACTATCCCACAACCAAGAGGTGAGAGTGCTACCAGGCTGACAACATCACTGCGACCAGAAATTAAGAGCAGAAAAAACACCCTAATAAACATTGAAAACTTGAACCATCCTGTGCATTGGGATTTGATGGGGTGAACACAAATCGAGGTTCCGATTCCCATTGCTGCTCCGAAGCCTCGCAGAGCAGATTCTTTAGTCTAAACATGGGTTTCACATCTTAAAACAACAACAGAAGACAAATAAGAGAGGGTTTTTGAATACAATTCAAAATTACATTTATAAAGGATCTTTCATGTCGGGAGGACATCCCAAGGCGCTGAGCAGTCAGGGATTAAAAAGCCAGTGCCAGTCCCAGGTCGTTGCTGGAGGGGATGTGTAACCAAGTCTTATTCACAAGCCAGTTTGCCGTCAAAGCTGGAGAGGGCGATGGCAAAGGCTTGGACTCCGCACATTGGGTAGTTGTAATCCATGGTGAAGGTATCGTCTGCCACCCGGCCAAACTGCATCACAATGTAATCAGCTGTGGAGAACAACAATAATAACAACTTGGATTTATATAGCATCCTCCACACCGGACGGCGTCTCAGAGCGCTTTACAGTAACAGATCCCGGGGCAGAGCCAGGGGGAGGGGCCAGGGGGAGGGGGAGGAAGGTGACCAAAGGCGCGGTCGAAGAAAAAGGTCTTCAGCAGAGACCTGGAAATAGGAAGAGAGGGAGCGAGGAAGGGAATTCCAGAGCCTCGGGGCATAGTGGCTGAAGGTGGAGCGGAGGACTCGGGGGACGAGGAGGAGGCCAGACCCGGAGGAACAAAGGCAAAGGGTACTGTTTTGAGGAGAGAGGTCAGAGAGGTCGGGGGGTGCAGAGGAGTGCAGGGACTTGAATACAAGGGTGAGGAAATTGAAGTCGATCCTCTCTGGGATAGGCAGTCAGTGCAGTCTGGCCAGGACTGGGGTGATCGGGGAGTGGAGTTTCGTGTGGGTGAGAATGCGGGTCATAATAATAATAACCATAATAATAATAATCCTTGCATTTATATAGCGTTTTATCACATCGTTGAGACTTCTCAAAGCGCTTCACAGAATATATTGTAAAGTGAATTAATTGTGTATTTTGTGGGTGAAACGCGGTAGCCAATTGTGGACAGCAGCGTCCACAAACAGTTGTGGATTGAGTGACCAAATTTTTTTTGGTGAGGGGATTATTAACCCCTGGAAAGCAATCCACCAATTGTCTATCAACCAGGTTCCTACTTACTGGTAGGTAGAGTAAAGAAACTTGCCTAAGGATTCGCCCTGCCTGGGGATCGAACCCGGGTCCTCTCGCTTGTCAGACAAGTGCTCTATGCAATGGAGTACCATAATAGTAATAATAATAACAATAATAATACAAATAGTGCCTTTGTGTCAAGACAGTGTCACACAAACCTTCTTGGCTCAACCCTCAATTGCCTCCCACCAGAGGTGGATGGTCATTTGGGGAGTGGGTGTGTATGTGTGGTGTGGGGGTGGGGGGGGGGGGGGCAGAGATCTGATTTGGAATCAGCAGAGCAGATATGGAGCAAGGATGGGTAATTGGTGTTGAGAGACAGATCAGCCATGATCTTATAGAATGGGGGAACAGGCTTGAGGGCCTGAATGGCCTACTCCTGTTCCTATGTTCCTAAGCAGCAGGATCTCTGGCCAATTTTAGTCTCTCTTAATGCAGCCAGTTGTAGCCCCTCACTCATTGCACTGGGCTGAGATCGGCAAAATAAACCCATACTCAACCCCATCCCACTCCCCAATGCCTCACTGTTGCAAAAAGAAATGAATGAGGTCTAAATGAGGGTCCTGTGCCAGCCTGATCGGTTTGATACGTACGGTCATTTTCATGGACAATTTGGAAGTTCTTGACTGAGGCGTGCGTCACTCTGCCATGGAAATTCAAGACGTAGGATTGAGTCTCATCGTTCCAGACCGGTGTCTTGTTGTGTAGCTGGATCAGGTTCTCCATGTTCTTGTTCTGCCATCTGCACAGCAGCCCATCATTGTCCTTCAGTAACAACAGAGGAACATGTAACAGAGCAACATAGGAACACATAACATGGGAACATGTAACATGGGAACACGGGAGCACGGAAACATGCAACATGGGAACATGGGAACATGTAACAGGAACATAGACACATATAACATAGGAACATGTAAAATAGGAACATTTAACACATGAACTTAGAAACACGTAACTCATGGACATACAAACTTGCAACAGGTACATAAGAACAATAACAACAAAGTTACATTTGTAAAGCGTCTTTCACGTCAGAGGACACCACAAGGCTCTGAACAGTCAGGGATCAAGACCCCAGCATGGTGGGGTGGTCATAACATATAGCACATGAACATAGGAACACATAATACAGGAAGATGCAACACAGAGACCGAGGAACATAAGAAAACAATAACAAGAACACAATAATAGGAACACAGTAACAAGAACAGGAGGAGGCCATTCGATCTATCAAGCTTGTTGTACTAGTTTAACATGACATATGTTTAAACCATTTAAACCATTCCCCCACCTTTTCTCCCTGTCCCTTAATCCCCTTCCCAAGTCTTTATAGATCCGTCTCTTACACGTGCCAATTGAGTGACCACTGGAATAAGGTTCTGGAGGACAGTCAGCCTCTGTGACACCCGTACCTCAGCACCAGTCAGCATCAAACAAACTGCCAGTTGAAGTGGACATTAAAGATCCCACAAAGCTATTGGAGAAAGAGACGGGAGTTTCTGCATCTACAGTCTTCCACGTTGTTTCACGTCTCACTGTGTGAGAGAGAATATCTCCTTCTAACCATCTTAGCTTTAATATTGAGACCAGATGTGTTGGATCCTCTGCCAGAGAAAAGACTTTAACATCATTTTGTTCTGTTATTCTTCCAGCTTTCATCCCTTTGCTCATTTTCCTCCTAACATTGCTGACATAGCCTGTCCCATATATTGATATAAGCAATTTCAGTCTTGAAAAGGGAAATCTCAGAGGTAACTTTATAGAAATCTGTAAGACTGCAACGGCCTTGAGAGAAAAAAAATACAACAATAGTTTGGATGCATGGAAACAGCAGAAGAGGACAGAGATTCAGGCTTTCAAGGGGGAATTTCTGGACAGACACCAAGAAGTATTTCTTTACCCAGAGGTTAATTAACATCTGAAACTGCTTGTCAGAGAGGGTGGTTGAGGCCACAACACTGGGACTCATTTNAAAAATCATTTTAAAAAAATTGTGGAGTCCTGTAGCTCAGTGGTTAGAGCACTCGGTTTGCAAACGAGAGACCTGAGTTCAATTCCAGGCAGAGGGTGAAACCTTGGGCAAGTTTCCTTAGTCCTCACAGAGCCTAATAATAATCCCTCCAAAAAACACAAAAACAATAATAAATTGGTCATTTTCAATCTACGACTGTTTGTGGGACATTGCTGTGCGCAATTGGCTGCCGCGTTCGCCCACAAATATACAGTCAATTCACTTTACAGTGTGTTCTGTGAAGCTCTTTGGGATGTCCTCCCGACATGAAAAACGCTATATCAAATACAAGGATTATTATTATTATTATTATTATGACACTGTAATGGGAGGACGGTAGGGAGGAGACTTGAAAGGATGAGATCAAATGGACTAAAGGGTCTTCTTCATCTGAACATCTTGTGATCTTATGAACAGTTTATACTCTCAGTTATCAGGTTCAAAAGTCAGCAACATGGCAATTTAGTCTGAAAAAAATGTAAAAGTCTTATTTCATGGCTTACGTCCAACTTACATTGCGAGGTCGGAAGGGAACCCGCTCCTGTTCCTCGTTCATCGCAGGAATGATCACTGTCATCTTTCTGGGGCCTTTAAACCCCAGCACGTTTGTGTCCTGTGAGGATAAATACAGTTGTAAATTCACATGGGCTCATTGAGATGTTTGGCAGGGCCTCAGACATCTGGCTCTGTGAGGCTGAACAACCCAGTCCAGGAGTAGTCAAACCAGAAACAGGAGGCCTCTGGGCTATTGTAAACATTCCCGTCCTACCATCGATGGTCGGGCCTTCAGCCTCTCTGCTCCTAAACTTTGGAACTCCATCCCACAGTCCCTTCACCACACTTCCCCCCTTGCTGTCTTCAAGGCACGTCACAAGACCCTCCTCTTTGACCATGCCTTTGGCCACCCTCTCACCCCTACGTACCCTGCCCTCCACCAAACCCTCTGCTCAGGTCCAAATCCCTGACTGTCCAGTGCCTTGGGACATCCTCCCAACATAAAAGGCTCTAAACAAATGTAAATTGCTGTTGTTATTGTTAAGGTTCAATCTCACTAATTATTATCTTAGTGAGTGAAAGAGTTGGGTTCCATTTCAATAACAATCGTTTCACTGTGTTTTATCACCTTCTTCTGGGAACTGAACTAAACCGTTTTGGCAATAATAATAAGAATCTTTGCATTTGATATAGCGCTTTCTCACGTCTTCGAGACGTCTCAAAGCGCTTCACCGGGTATACTGTGCTTGCGAGGTGAGTGCTCTAACCAATACGATACAGCATCTACCATGTAGCCTGGTAATGTAACCTGTAGCCTACATCAGCCAATGTAGCTTAATATCTGTTTGCTTTATTCACTGCTGCATCGTGCTCTCTGAGATCCAGTAGTGACTAATGCCCCAGGGCTCTTTTAGCTTCTCCCTCTTGGCAAGTTCTGTCTCATCAATGGAATAAAGGGAAGAAATCTAAAGTGGATGAGAAAAACATCTAGTCAGAATCAGAGACTGTCTCCCAACCCTGAGATCAGTCCTGATTTTTAGTGCTGAAAATTGACATTTAACAAGATTATAACATTGTCTGGATGAAGAAGGCCCTTTGGCCATTCCAATCTCATCTTTCCAGAACCCCCACCGCCACTACCATCCCTCCATCACAGCATCAAACTGTTTTTAATCGAGTCTAGATTTCTGGCCTCAAAGTTTCCATCCTGATAACCTGTTCCAGTTAATTAAAGCAAAACTATCCTGGTGTCTGTTCTGAAAATGCTGTTGATTACTCTAAACCTGCACCTTCTTGGTCTACTGTTCTTGTTCAAGAATGATACCAAAGATGAAGGACTACAATTATGTGGAGAGACGAGGCTGGGATTATTCTCCTTAGAGCAAAGAAGGTTGAGGTGAGATTTAATAGGTGTTCAAAATTATGAGTGGTTTTGATAGAGTAGATAGGGAGAAACTGTTTCCTCTAGTGGGTGGGTCGGTAACCAGAGGACACAGATTTAAGATAATTGGCAAAAGAACCAGAGGAGAGACAAGGAGACATGTTTTTCATGCACCGAGTTGTTACCGTCTGGAGTTGTTACGGTCTATTACTGCCGGAAAGGGTGGTGGAAGCAGGTTTGATAATAGCTTTCGAAAGGGAATTAAATAGGTACTTAAAAAGGAAACATTTGAAGGGCTATGAGGTAAGAATGGGTGAGTGGGACTAGTTGGGAGCTCTTTCAAAGAGCCAACACAGACACGATGGGCTGAATGGCCTCCTTCTGTGCTGTAAAAATTCTATGATTCTACGATATGTCTTCGGGAATCTAAAGTATTTGAAGCGGGTTACAAATTTACACACCTCGATGAGGTCCCAATGTCTGCTCCACATCCCCCGCCCCAACCGCCCTACCATCGGTGCCGGGCCTTCAGCCTCTCAGCCCCGAAGCTCTGGAACTCTATCCCCCAGTGCCTTCGCCGCTTCCTCCCTCTCCTCCTTCAAGACCGGTCTTAAGACCTTTCTCTTTGACCTTCAGCCTTCAGCTCCCCTCTCGACTCTCTACCCCCTCCTCGCTCCCTCCCTTCCCTCCCCTCACCCTGACCATTTCCCCCCAATGCTCGGGTCCTGACCCAACTGTACAGCGCCTTGGGACGTCCTCCCGACGTGAAAGGCGCTCAATAAGTGGAATCTTGTTGTTGTTGTTGTTGTCCCCTCTGAGTTGTCTTTTCCCAAGACTAGAGAAGAGGAAGGTGAGTGAATTTAGTGGCTCCTGCAGTGACAATGTGCTTCTCAGAAGGCAGAGTTGAGCAAGGTTATGGCGGGTGATGGGATCAAAGATGGCAGTCGGGATGGCAGAGGGGAGAGGTCATGCTGCAGGCAAGTTGCCAATCACAGCTGACAACAAGGAAGAAGTTTGCATCATTCCTTAATGCATTCCTTGTATTAATTAACGCTGCAATCTTTACCCCAGAGGTCCCAATGCGAACAGCCTTATTAACAGACAGAGAGAGGGACTTTATCCTATGAAATTGAGACCATCAGCTATATCGCCATTTCAAGACACTTACGTAGATGACAGCAGAAAGCTCCTGACGCACATTGGAACGATCGGGTTTCCCCTTGTCAGCACTCACCCCGTTGTCAAACACTGTAAACTTTGTTCCCATCAGGTTCGACCTGGAAGGTTCAAAAAGCCCAGAATAAAGCTCCATCGGATGGATGTTCAATCCAGAAAAGAATGAGTTACAATAATAACTCTTCCATTTGGCATGAGCTGGGACTACAATTTGTTCTTAATAATAATAATCCTTGCATTTGATGCAGCACCTTATAACTTCCCAAAGTGCAGCACAGAATATATTATAAAGTGAATTGACTGTGTATTTTGTGGGTGAAACACAGCAACCAATTGCGCGCAGCAGTCATGGATTGAGTGACCACATTTTTTTTTGGAGGGATTACTACCCCTGGAAAGCGATCCACAAATTGACTAAAAACTGGGTTCCTACTTACTGCTAGGTAAACAGAGATGTGTGGAGTAAGGAAACTTGCCTAACGTTTCGTCCTGCTCGGAAATCAAACCCTTGCTTGTGAGGCGAGCCAATGCATTGCAGGACTTTACATTCCGCCCCACATACCCCCCCACAACTTGTCGGGTCCCATTGTCTCTCCAAGATGAGTGATGACCCAAAATTTGACCTCAATTGTATATATTGGACTGGATTCACCAAGAGCCTCATAGGGTCCCAGCCCAAGCAACGAGCCTCACCTTAGTTTCCCAATAAAGTTCTCTCCCCCTCGGGACATGTCTGTAGGATCAATGGAAATAAGGTAATTGGACGTCTTGCTTTTCTTACGCTTTCTCCCAGCCAGCAAGAAAATCTGAGTGTGGGGGGGGACAAAGATAAACAAAACATTCAGTTGTAAACACAGATAACAACAAAATTACATTTGTAAAGTGCCTTTCACATCGGGAGGAAGTGCTGAATAGTTGGGGATCAGGACCTGAGCATGGTGGGTGGGGTGCAGGGTTGGGATGAGGACTTGAGGAAATGAGGGAGGGCAGAGAGGTAGGAGGGCGACTGAAGGCACGGTCGAAAAGGAGAGTCTTGAGTCGTACCTTGTAGAAGGCACGGGAGGGAGCAAGGTGAAGTGATTGTGGGATGGAGTTCCAAAGGGTGGGAGCAGAGAGGCTAAAAGATGGCCGCTGATGGTGGGTGGATCGGGCGGGAGTCATGGAACAGGTTGGAGCCTGCTGAATGGAGGTAGCGGACAGGTTAATAGGAGGTTAGCTGGTCAGAGAGGTAGGAGTGGACAAGGCTGGGGAGGCCCTTGAAAGTGAGGATGAGATTTTGAATCCTATCTTCTGAGGGATGGGGAGCCGTGGAGCCGGGCAAGGGTGGGAGTGATGAGATCACGGAGCCTGGTGCGGGAGAGGACACAGGCTGCAGAGTTCTGGATGATCTGCAGCTTGTGGAGGAAAAAGTTGGGGAGGCTGACAAGGAGGGAGTTTCCATAGTCAAGCCTTGAGGTAACGAATGCGTGTGAGGGTTTCGATGGACTGAAGGGTGAGACAATGGTGGAGTTGGGCAATGTTGCAGAGGTGAGGGAAGTCAGTGCTGGTCGTGGCATGGATATGGCAGAGAAAGGAGAGTTGAGGGTCAAACAAGATGCCCAGGTGCCTGACTGGCTGGTGAGGTGGAGTGTGCATCCACGGATGCTGACATGAATCAATCAGGAGGGCTCGGTCTTGCTGACATTCAGTTGTAGCTGGCTCTCATCAGGACTTGATGACTGACAGACAATCTGTTAGGTGGTCAGTTGTCCTGGAATTGGGGGTAAGGCAGAGAGATAGAGTTGGGTCTCATCTGTGTACATGTGGAAGTTGACCCCATGTACGTGGGTGATGTCACCAAGGAGGAGCATATAGAGCTTGAATAGGAGGGACCAAGGACAGAGCCCTGAGTAATATCACACAAGACTGGGAGGGGGCTGGAAGAGAAACCGTTGGTGGAGGCAAATTAGAGACTGTGTGAGTGATAAGATGTGAACCATTCAAGGACAGAACCTTGAAGGTTGAGGTGAGAGGAGAGGAGGATGGAGTGGGCCATGATATAAAAGGCAGTAGAGAAGTCGAGGAGGATGAGGAGGCAAAGAGAGCCCTGGTCACAGATGGTCAGGATGTCATTGTGAGCAGCACAGAAACCCAATGGAGGAGCTCATGAAGGGAATAGTAAGAGAGGAAGGAGTGAAGCTGGGAAGCAATGACTTTTTCATGGACCTTGGAAAGAAAAGGGAGGTTGGAGATGGGCCTGAAGTTAGAAAGCAGGGATGAGTCCAGGGAAGTTTTTTCAGGATAGGGGTGATTATAGATGTTTTTAGGGGGATGGGAACGGTCCCAGATGAAAGGGAGAGGTTGATGGTGTTGGACAGTAGAGGGGCAAGCAGGTGGAGTTGGGAGGTAAGGAAAGGGGTGGGGATGGGGTCAAGGGAGCAGGTGGTGTTTCATGCTGGATATAGTGGTGATAAGAGAGGAGGGGGAGACATGTTCGAAGAAGTGGTGGGAGGGATATATAAGGATCGCAGTGTAGGGGGGAGATGGGGATGGAGTGATGGTTGGGAGGGCCGTGGTAGCTGAATGGATCCCCTCGATTTTGGACTTGAGGAAATCCAGCATCTCCTGACAGTCAGAGTTTGAGAAGAGAATGGGTGAGGCGAGAGAGGGTGTCAGAGGAGCCTTTTGGTGGTGAAGAACAGGAGCCTGGGGTTGTTAATAATAATAATCCTTGCAATTGATATAGTGCTTTTCACGTCTTCCCGATGTCTCAAAGCGCTTCACAGAATAGACTGTAAAGTGAATTGACTGTATATTTGTGCACAGCAGTGTCCCACAAACAGCCATGGATTGGAAAGGACAATTTAGCAGAGATGAGGGTGGAGCAGTACGTTTTGATGCGGTCCAGCCAGATCTGTTGGGGACCGTTAGATGAGATTGGAGCTAGATTCATTTGGTGGCCCACACCTGACCCTTAAAGGAGCAGAGGCGGCAGGTGTACCAGGGTGAAGTTCATCAGTAGCAAGTGGTTTGGGAGGTGAGTGGGGTAGGGGCATCAAGAGTGGAGGAGAGTGAGCGAGGAGGATAAATCAGTCCCGGAGGTAGGCCAGAGGTGGAGGAGTTCAGATTACTCCAGTGCAGCGGAGAGGGATTGCGGGAAGATTTTTTTCCTGGGCCAATAGGAGATGGAGGTGGGTTGGGTGATGGCGGGGAGAGGGATTGAGTAGTTAAAGGAGATTAAATGGTGATCGGAGATGGCTTTGTCTGTGATTGTGATATCTGAGACATTGAGGCCCAGGGTAATCACCAGGTTGAGTGGGTGGCAATGAACGTGGGTGGCAGAGTGGATGTGGAGGGAGAGGTTGTGAGAGGAGAGGAGAAGTCAGGGGAGATGGAGTAGGAGGGGGTGAAGTGAAGCTTGAATCACCAAGGATGAGGAGGAGTTCAGAACAGAGGCAGAGGGAAACTACAAAGGTGGAGATGTCAGAGATGAAGGTGGGCGAGATTTTTTTGGGGGGTTTGGTAAATGAGGAGAATTTTAAAGGAAAGATTGGGGGAATGGTAGAGTGTTAGATGCTCAAATGAGGGGAATGAGCCAGAGGAGTAAGGGAATAGAGCAAGTGAGGTCCTGGAGATGAAGGCATTGTTGAGACATCTCAAAGCACTTGACTGTGTCACTTCCTGTCAGCTCCATTTGAAACTGCTGCTGATATCAACCCATCTAAAGTGAAGTCATGTCTAGATGGAATATTACCAGCTGATTCAGGTTCAGTGTGTCTGGGTATGTCAGTACTCAGGAACATACAAGACCATTGGGTCTGGGCGTGGACGATCCCAATTTCTAAATACCATTATATTTAAAATATTCATGAATGTTAATTAAATAGTATTGTATTTACAATGTTCTCTAATGTTCATGTGCAGCTGGGCTGGCTCCAAGGTGATGTGCCTAGCAATGGAATATCAGAATCAAGTCCATCCTCTGTGGGGCCCCTAATAGTCCATTTCCTGATGCAGGCAGATCCGCAGTACTCTAGCACTGTTAATGACAGACCAGCCAGCCTGGCTTGCTAGCAAGACTTGGTGAGGCAGACAGGGAGCAGGGATTCTTCTCACTTGGATCCTATTAACCCTGGCAGGGTGGTCCTAGTTGCACATGAAGTAAGGAGCTATTATCTATCATCTTTCCCCCATTATAAAATATATAATCCCCTCTTGATTTTTTGGGGGGGAGTCAGTCGTGTGTCTGACACATGCAGAAACCCATCACCGTGCTTAAGGGCCTTCAAACCAAGCTGAGATTTCCATGCATCCCAACTACACATGGAAATCCCAGAGATAGATTGTTGGAATGGAATGTACACTCTCTCCCCGGAGGGATGCATCCTGATTACCTAATTCCAGAAAGTATTAGTCGCAGGTTATCAAGAGCCAGGCTCAGAGACCCCAGAGTGTGTGTTGGGTTAACTGCTGGAGTCTAACCAGCTAAAGCAGCATAGTTTGCCATTGAGATCACTGTCTGGCAAGCTCCCCTGCTTATCCGGCTAGGACCACTTTACCCGTTAGGGCTTTGGCTTACAGGGTTAACAGGAGCTGAGTGGGATGACTCGCCAGTGGTCTGCCCTTCCAGGTCCTGCCAATGAGCCAGGCTGGGCTGTTCTGTCATCAGTAGTGCACTGGAACGCCATGCACTTGCCTGGTTCAGGAACCGGACTACCGAGACTGCCACAGAAGGCTGGCTTGATTCCGACATTCCATGGCCAAGCATGTCACCTTGGAGCCAGTTCAGCTTCAAGGAGACCCTGCTTACATCCCCGCTTGAGACCATGAACACTGCCACCAACTACCTTAACAAACATTGCAAACCTTTACCATCCTGTTCCAATAAAGTAGATAATCTGTTTTTCCCTCCCCTTCTCTCCGCCTCCCTCTCCCTTCTCCCCCACAAAAAGAAATAAAATGGCAACTGGTTATGGACCTCCTGAATATTTCTAGCATCTTCTTCAGCTTGAACTTGTTTGTAGCCTTTAGGATCAATAAAAACTCAACAAGAGCATTGGTCAATCTTGTTGTTTTTAATTTTTCTCCTTTTAGCTCAAGTAGCCATGCATCTCAGCCTTCCTGCTCTGACCCCATTTCCCTGAGAGCATCAATCACAACTACAGAATAAACAGGAGTGAAGGACAGATTCATACCTGGTTTCTTCCCCTGAGAAGGAAGCACTTGTCATTATTGTCTGACAATTCATTGTGAGCCTATCTGGCCTATCACCCACTGTCCTCCATCAGTCTCCCTTACCTTTTTGTTCTCATCTGTGTCCAGGTGAAGGTAATAGGTGGGATAGAGGCCCCGGTCCATGCCTTTCTTGTCTCTTGTTACTTTGCACTTGATAGTCACACTCTGGGGAGCAGGCCTCAGCACAAACTCCTCCAGATTTCCCACCTCCACAACAGGGGACTCCATCCTGGCTGAGGCACAGTCCTAGAAGCAGGGAACACCAAGTCATTAAAGCACATCTAAGCCTTCTCCTCCCTTCAAATAGTCTTTCCAAATTCCCTGAGCTGTGTGCAATCTCCCTCAGCAATTCAATGTTCTGCCTTAACCCTGACCTCTAGGTCAACCTTGTTGTAGTTCCCAACTCCTGTCATCGACTCCTTGCAATTCTTTGCTCCCACCCAATCTAGATTTCTTTTGGCAGAGAGTTTACTATCTACCAACAACAATGGGGCTTCATTTTAAATATTTACAAAAGGGAATCTGTAATCAGATTCAGAGGTCAGATTGGGGGGAGTGGGGGGGTTTGGGATTGATCATTTCCAAAAGGCCACCAAAGTGCAGACAAAAAGTTAGAAGGAAAACTTAGTCACATCATGGGGTGATGGCATCTGGGCTTTCAGAATTTACAGCTAACGCATCTCGCTTCTTTTGCGAATATGGCAAATGAGACCTGGTTATCTGCTCACACTCCGTCACCAAATTAATGCATCAGCAACACCTTCACAAACTCACATTGTTTGATTTCTTCTTTGAAGATTTTCCCTTTTTGTTGCTGTTCTTTTGTGTGATTGATGGATCTTCCTCTTCCTCATCATCGGATCCTAACAGATCAAAGACATGGTCAGGCACAGCTTCAGATACATTAAGTTTCAGATCGGACACCAGCACCTCTATCATTATTTTAACAAATTTACACTTTATAGGAATAAATCACCAGATTTTCTCACACTTACTGACAAATACGTTTGCCAGGTTCTGATTTTAATCAGCAAAAATGATTATTTCATCGAAGTCCCATCGTTAAACATCGCTTTTACTTTTAGTTAATTCATTTTCAATTACAAAATGGCCAACTTCTGGTTTGCAAGTCTGCCACAGGTGTCACTTCCTGCACATCACGATGTCAGGAAGTGATGTCAGTTCGCATAGCCGGCGTGCACCCTTACACAGGAAATGACCTCCATGGCCAAGTTATGAACCAGACATAGGCCATTTTATTTAGTCGAAAAGATGACTTTAAAAAAATCCAAGAAAGTTAAATAAATATCAATATTATCTGTGGAAAAATAACAATCCTAAACTGGCGATCATACTGATAAACCTGAAGGCTCACAGGTTCAAACCCCGCTCAGTGCTGCTCTATTTGATCTGAGCTGTGGTGGGAGTGAGACAATTGGTGACCATTTTCCAGTCAATCCATCAGAGTAGAAAGCCACTTACCTTCTATCTTCAGAGTCTGTTTGTAATACTAAATACCTCAACCAAATAAATATTGGAAGGATACAAAACATGAGCATCAGCTTAGCACAATTAAGTCTTTGGTAACGAATGAACTTTGACTGATATAAAGTGTAACCTTTCTTTTTGCTCTTTTTGTCTTTCTTGGCTCCCCCCGACTGGAACATTTTGGCTTCAGTGTTCTTTTTCTTGCTCTTCGCAGCTTTGGAGCTGGGTTCCAAGTCTTCGTTCTCATCCTTCCCCGACTGTGAGTCTGGGAGACGGAATGGGGTATTGGGAAACGAGGGAGAGAGCAGTGGAGTGAATCAGAGAGCAGAGAGAGAGAGAGAGGGACGCAAAGAGGAAAAGAGGCAGCTGCAACAGAGCAATTGTCATTCTTTAACCTATTCTGCTTTCAGTAGAGAAAACTGGATGGAATGGATTCAATAGTCCTTTTCATTAGGATAACTAGATCTCACAAACTCTGTTTGACTCAATCTCTGACCCCTGACCCAGTGCCCAATCCAAGACACAGTGTTTGATTACTGACCCTGTCCTTGATCTTGACCCAGTTCCCCAACCCCTGACACAGCCTCCAAGTTCTACCTAAACCCTGACCCAACCATTGGTGCCTAACCCAGTCCTTGACCCTGATCTAAGCCTGATCCAACTTCTGACCCATGAACCAATTCCTGACGGCTGAAGTACCAAACCTGGTTCCAGCTCAACTCAATACTTTCTCACTGACTCTAAGATTCCACTGTAAAGACAGAACGGAAGTTGAACATCATAGTGCCCCAGTATACGCGTCCCTACATAGCAGGGAGACATTTAAGATTTCCAGGGTAGGAGGGTCTATGGCAGTTTAGGAACAAAATATGCAACACCCCGATCTGCCTCTGGTTGTATGAACTGTTTATTGTTGGGAATAGGCAGAAGAAATGGGATGGGATGGATACCTCTGTTTGAGAGGATGGGCTGAATGGCCTCTAATTCTAATTCTGTGGTTCTAATTCAGGTATGAGAGGATGGCCATGGAGTCCAGTTGATCAGTAACATCAGAAATCTTTAGATATAGCAAGATATATTCTACTTGCTAAATAAGCCATGACTAAAAAACTATTTTAGTGAACAGGCCATCATATTGAGTGTGCTATCACTCACCTAAGATCATACATGATTGGTTCAGATGCAGACGGCCCATTGACCCTTTCAGTGCCTTGGGACATCCTCCCGACGTGAAAGGCAGTATACAAATATAATGTGTTGCTGTTAATCTCACTTTACCATTCCCCATCACAGCTGCTTTTGAAATGAGTCCCAGAGTCCTGAACTCAACCTCAACCACCCTTCCTGGTAACCCTGTTCCATCGTTAGCTACACTCTGGGTAAATTAAGGTTTCCTGGTGTCTGTCCTGAAATTGTCTTTTGCAACTCTAAACCTATGTCATCTTGTTGTGGATGGGATCATAGAAAATAGGATGTAGAGTTTATTTTCGACGAGAGGATGATTTATTGGAAACAAAGCTGACCTTTCTTTTTGCTTTTCCCTTCCTTCTTGTCGCCCCCAGCCTGAAAAGCCAGCATTGGATCCTTTCTCTGTGCTTTGCTGGCTTTGCTTTTGGTTTTTGGCTCGGATTCGCCATTGTCTTGCTCTGATTCAGGGTGTAGCAAATGGCACGTATGGAAAACAGAGTGAGCCAGCGAAAGAGAGAGTGAAGGAGAGAGAGGAAGGCAGTGGGTGAGGGAAAGAGTGAGGGCATGAAAACGAGAGTGAGGGGGAAAAAGCAAGGGAGAGCCCAAGGGAGGGAGTGAGCAAGGGAGTGAAAGGGAGAGAGAGAAATTGAAGAAGGAAATTGAGAGAATGCAGCGAAGAACATAAGTACAGAATGGACTTCAAGTTAACTCGTTCCCATTGAGCCCCTCGGACACACAGACAGGCACTGTGTTAGAGAGACAGAGAGAAGGCACTGCAGGGGGTGCACTGACGTGGGAGAAGGATTCTGTGGGAACTGGCAATATGGGAGCTCAGGTGGTTGAGTGTGACTTGAGATCAAGGCTCTGTAAGTAAACTTTGTCAAGTAAACCTTATTTACCCTGTGTGTGTACGTATATGGTGGGGGGTGGGTAGGGTCTTTCAGAGACGAAAATCCCTTGCTTATCTAGTTGTTCCTCAAAGCACATCGTTCTTTGAGGAACAACTCTTCTCCTCTCTCCCTCCTCCACAATATCCTCTCCTCCACACTCAATACTCTTGCCCCCATCACTTCCCGCACTGTCTCCTACTCCCGCTCCTCCCCCTGGTACACCACCCACCTCCGCTCACTGAAATGCCAGGTGCGGGCTGCTGAGCGCACCTTTGTCAAATCCGGCTTAACGGTCCACCGACAAATCTGGCTGGACCTCCTCAAAATTTACCGCTCCACTCTAGCCTCGGCCAAGTCGTCCTTCTACTCCAGGATAATCCTGGAGGCGAAGAACAACCCCAGGCTACTGTTTTCCACCACATCCCGACTCCTCCGTCCCCCCCGCCACCCCGCGCAGGTCATCTCCTCCAACCTTCACTGCGAGGAGATGCTGGATTTCCTTGAATCCAAGATCAAGGGAATCCGCTCCGCGGTCACTTCCCCTCCAACTTCCACCCACCACCCACCCCTTCCCTCCCACACTCCGACTCCTACCCATCCTCCCCTACACACCTTCGTACCCGTTTCCCCACCCTCTGTCACTGAACTCATCCTATCCCTAAAACCAACCACCTGCTCCCTTGACCCCATCCCCACTCCACTCCTTATCTCCCAGCTCCATTTTCTTGTCCCACACATCACTGACATCATAAACCTGTCCCTCTCCTCTGGCTCTGTCCCCATTCCATTAAAAACTGCCATCATCACGCCCACCCTGAAAAAACCCTCCCTTGATGCGTCGCAGCTATCAAGCTACCGGCCCATCTCCAACCTCCCCTTTCTCTCCAAAGTCTTGGAAAGAGTTGTCGCCTCCCAACTGCGCTCTTTCCTCTCCACCCATTCTCTTTTTGAACCCCTTCAGTCAGGTTTCCGTGCTGCTCATAGCACAGAAACTGCCCTGGTCAAGGTCACCAATGATATCCTGACCATCTGTGACCAGGGCTCCCTCTGTCTCCTCGTCCTCCTCGACCTATCGGCAGCATTCGATACGGTCGACCACGCTATCCTACTCCACCGCTTGTCCTCCCACCTCAACCTTCAAGGCACTGTCCTTGAATGGTTTAGGTCGTACCTTTCTCACCGTCTTCACTTCGTCTCAACGAATGGCTTCTCCTCCACCCCCCGTACTGTCTCATGTGGTGTCCCTCAGGGCTCTGTCCTCGGTCCCCTCCTCTTCACCCTCTATATGCTCCCCCTTGGTGACATCATCCGCAAACATGGGGTTAACTTCCACATGTATGCGGATGACACCCAACTCTACCTTTCCTCCTCTACTCTCAACTCCACGACCACCGATGTCCTGACAGCCTGCCTGTCCGACATCGAGTCCTGGACGAGAGACAACTTTCTTCAGCTCAACGTGCAAAAAACCGAGGCCCTCCTGATTGGCTCACGTCAGCGCCTCCGCACCTCAGGCGCTGACACCATCAGCATCCAAGGCTGCACTCTCCACCTCTCAAAGCCAGTCAGGAACCTCGGCGTTTTGTTCGACCCTGAGCTGTCCTTTCTCCCTCACATCCGCACCACAACTGGCACCGCCTTCCATCACCTCCGGAATATCGCCAGACTACGGCACTACCTCACCCCTCACGCTGCTGAAACCCTGGTTCACGCCTTTGTCACCTCAAGGCTGGACTATGGGAACTCTCTCCTCGCCGGCCTTCCCGCCACCTCCCTCCACAAGCTGCAGGTCATTCAGAACTCTGCAGCTCGTGTACTGTCCCGCACCAGGCTTCGGGACCACATCACTCCCACCCTCGCTCGCCTCCACTGGCTCCCCATCCCCCAGAGGATTGATTTCAAGATCCTCATCCTCACCTACAAGGCCATTCACGGCCTTGCTCCCTCCTACCTCTCCAACCTACTATCCCCCTACCTACCTGCCCGTACCCTCCGTTCCTCTGGCTCCGGTCTGCTCCACGTCCCCCGCCCCAACCGCCCTACTATCGGTGGTCGGGCCTTCAGCCTCTCAGCCCCGAGGCTCTGGAACTCCATCCCCCAGTGCCTTCGCCTTGCTTCCTCCCTTTCCTCCTTCAAGGCCGGTCTCAAAACCTTTCTCTTTGACCGTGCCTTCAGCTCCCCTCTCGACTCTCTTCCTCCTCCTCGCTCCCTCCCTTCCCTCCCCTCACCCTGACCATTTCCCCCTCCTCTCTCCCTCCCTTCCCTCCCCTCACCCTGACCATTTCCCCCCTGCTCGGGTCATGACCCAACTGTGCAGCGCCTTGGGACGTCCTCCTGACGTGAAAGGCGCTCTATAAATGGAATCTTGTTGTTGTTGTTGTTGTTGTTCAAACGTCATTCTAATCCTTGTTGGAATTGAGATCAGGAAATATTTGGATTACAACAAGCAACTTCCCACCAAAGAAAAGTTACGATTCACCCAATATACACACAATTACACACACATTTGCGTGCGCGCACACAAATATATACCTCCCCCCACCACACACACACACGCGCGAATAGACATCATCCCCTGCGGACACAGACAACTACATGAATGCAGTCTTTGCATTTGATACAGTGTCTTCAACATCGGCATGAAATCTCAAGGTGCTTCACAAGATTTACTGTAAACATACAGTGATCACTTTGCAGGCAAACGCGACAGCCAATTGGCGCACAGCAATATCTCGCAAACAGCCGTGAACTTAATGATCATATTTATATTGGGGAATTCTCTTTTTCAAAGAATGCAATGGGATTCCAGTTTAACATTTCGTCTGAAGGACCTCCAGCAATGCAATGCCCCACACTGTACAGTGGAGCCCTGTATTAGAGTGTCAGCCTGGACTATGAGTGTCAAAGTCTCAATATGGGCCACAACCTTCTGAGTTGTGCTACCAACTGAGTCAGGCTGACACTAACATGCACACTCACGAACAGATGCATCAGACAGATAGGCACTGCACACACATACACACAGGCACACAACAACAACTTGCATTTATATAGCGCCTCTCACACAGGGTAGCGTCCCAGAGCGCTTGACACTGAGCCGAGGAGAGGTGGGAGGTTACCCTAGGCGTGGTCAAAGACCAAAGTCGTCAGGCACGACCTAAAGATGTTGAAGGAAATGGCAAGGCGGAAGGATAGAGGAAGAGGGTTCCACAGTTTCAGGCCGTAGTGGCTGAAAATGCGGCCATTGCTGGTGGAAAAGAGGGGGCAAGGGACGTGCAGGAGGCCGGAGCCAGTTGAGCGGAAGCAGTCTGTAGTGGGTTGGGGAATAAGCAGGTGGGAGAGGTAAGAAGGTGCTCGGGCATGAAGGGATTTGAAAACAAGTGCGAGGATCTTGAAATCAAACCGTTCAGCAATTGGGATACAAACACATGCCCACACAACACACACTCACCCACACAACACACACTCACCCACACAACACACACTCACCCACACAACACACACTCACCCACACACACACACACAGTCTCACACACACACAAAGACATACAGACTTGAGAAACTGACCTTTTGGTTTTGACTTTTTCTCCTTGGCCTCTTTAGTTTTCTTTTTGATGCGTTTTGTTGTCGTTACTTCTGCTGGCTGGTCCTCCCCCTCCTCCTCATCATCTTCTTCCTCAGACTCTTCTGCGATGAGATTTTAATAGAATAGAACTATTAGGCTCTGATCAGGCCAGTTACAGTACTACAGAGGATTCACACTGCTCCACACTGCGCACATAGACACTTCTAGCTCCCGAGTTACTGTGAAACCTGGTGCATCTACCACTGTGCAGGTGCTAAAGCACACATGTTAACTCAGATAACAATGAAAACGAAACAGAAAATAATATCCTTCACCTCATCCACATCAGTGAAACCACTCAAATTGCTTCACAGGATTGCACACAGCGGGGCCCCCCAAACAGCCATGAAGCAAATGATTGATTTTATCTGGTGCTGGCCTGTGATGGCCTGGACACAAATAGGACAGTGCCATTTGGACCTGAACAGGTAAACATCACCTCGGTTTAACATCTCAACCAAAGAACGGTACCTCCAACAATGCAGCGCTGCTCCTCGCACTGCACAGGAGTCTCAGCCTTAATCGTAAGTGTGGATTTGGAGTCCCAACGTGGGGTTTGAAGCCATAATAATAATAATTATCCTTTCATTTGAAACAGCGCCTTTTTACATCTTCTAGACGGCTCAAAGTGTTTCACAGAATATACTGTAAAGTGAATTGACTGTATGTTTTGTGGGTGAAATGTGGCAGCCAATTGCCCACAGCAGCGTCCCGCAAACAGTTACGGATTGAGTGACCAAATTATTATTTTTTTTTTTGAATGGACCAATACCCCCGGAAAATCAATCCGCCAAACGACTAACAACCGGGTTCCTGCTTACTATTAGGTAAACAGAGGCGTGTGGGGTAAGGAAACATGCCCAACGTTTCGCCCTCCCGGGAATCAAACCCAGGTCCTCTCACTAGTGAGGCGAGCGCTCTAACCACTGAGCTACAGGACATAACCTTCTGACTCAGAGATGATAGTGGGTCAGGCTGAGCCCTGGACACATGACGCAGTTCCTAGCCTGATCTACTGCTGCTCCTCTGTGGCCAGGTACCTTGCTTTGGTTTTTTGATTGTTTTCCCGACTGAGAAGTGGGATGCGGGATTCTCCTTCTTCTTCCTGGGATCCTTAATGAACCTAGAGTAGGGATCCTTTTCCTGTTCTCCTTCCTCCGGCTCCGCCTTTGGTTTCTTCTTTTTTGGCTTCCTTTCTGTTCCGTCTTTTAGGTGTCGAGTGGAAGGGTGGGGTTGGGTGGTGGGGGTATTGTCGTGGGGCAGGGCGGAGAGGCGTTGTTTTGCGGGGTGGCAGAGGAAGGGAGGCGGGAGGAAAGGCAATCAAAGAAGACGCTAAATAATAATCCTAGACTGATTGAAAGGGCATTTCAAAGTGGGATCACAGGTTTGGGACCACATAACGGATACTCATTGGGGAATGGGTTACTAACTGCTGATTCTAATGAACGAGGATAGGATCAGAGTCAGAGGTGACTTCAGGGAATGGTATAAATACTAAATATAAGTATAAAACTCACTATAAGCTCTGAATACACAACGGGTGAAAAACACAGATATAAAGTCACGACTTTTATTTCGGTCAGAAACCCATCACCATGCTTCAAACTTCAAAGAGACTTCAAACTAAACTTCTGAGTATTCCACATATGTATCCGAATATCCCCCTGTCTGGAGTGGAATGTATACTCTCTCCCTTGATGTATCCTGTTTATCAAATTCCTCAGTGTTTTAGGCACAGGTTGGCAAGAGCTAAGGTTCATGGACCCCAGAGTGTGCATTTGAGATATAACCAGCTGTGCATTATGAATACTGCTGGTGATGGATTTCTGCAGGTGTCTGACACCCAGCTGACCAAAAACATACACTGTGTCTCAATGCTGGAATAGACACAGATAGCTATTCAAACGTAATATTTAGCTGGTCAGCTCATTGTTTGAAATGTAAATGAGTTGCTGTATTTTCTACATAACTTTAACATAATTCAGTTGTTAATCTCTGAGACATTTCAATCTGAAAGCATTTAACATGTATTAAAGGGAATAATATTGTCATTTGGTTCAGATATAAGAACCACATGATTTGACATGGGATTAAGATGGATGAGCAAACATTCAGCAAACACTGACACTAATATAATGGGTGGAATGGTGCCCTTTGTGGATAGATTTCTACTGGTCTTTGGATAATTCAAACAGCCACAATCTTATCCTTCCCTGTACCAGTCATAAAGTCATGTTCCCCAGACTCTCCCAGCTTCCTATTCCCCAGTACATGGACGTTAATATTCTTATTCTAACTTTCAAATGCTTCAACCCACTCAGTGCTCAGGGATGCCACCCTACGTGAAGGGCGCTATAGAAATGCAAGTCGTTGTTGTTGTAATGCCGTGAATTCTCAAAGTCCTACATCACTACTCATTCATTGCACTCTGTACCACGTCCCCTGCCCTCTCTCCCCTACCTTCTGTGTGTGAGCTTTCAGCCACTCTTCCCTTCCTCTGCAACTCTCCCTGAAATCCAGCCCTCTCCACTTGATAAACCCATTCAAAACCCTACCTCTTGTGCTGTGTCATCAACCTTATCTCTCCTCCTGCTTGGGCTCCCTCTCTGTATCTGTGAAGCACGTTGAGATGTGTAGCTAAGTGAAAGATGGTGTATAAGTGCTTGTTGCTGTTCTATGGTCACCCACGAGCTCATGGCTGTTAACTGATGCACCAGCAACTAATTTGGAGATAACTTACTTTGATTGGCAGCTTTGGATTCGGCCGCCGGGACCTGTTCATCTGAGCGCTTTGTCTTGGTCTTCTTCACCTTCTTGTCTTCATTGTTGGACTGAACCATCTGTGGCTCCTGTCGCTTCTTCTTCTGCTTCTGTTCCAGCAGAGCCCGCTGCGTGCACACAGAACGCAAAGGTCAGAGGTGCAAGTTGAGGGTGTGGGGTGAGGGTGGGGGTGAGTGGGGGGGATAGTGGCTATGGCCTGAAATTCCACCTAGTCCTAGCCCATCAGGTCCTTTGATCCCAGAATTGTGCAGATTCTTCAATCCCGTCTTTATTTGAAAAATATGTTTCCTCGGTTCTTGGAAAGAAATGAATCAAGACTGATTTTAAGATTTTTCAACAATTCTGCATCATCTTCAATTTTTTGGTCAGTCGGGTGTCTGACACACGAAGAAACCCATCGCTGAGCTTGAGAGTCTCCAGACCAAGCTGAGATTTCTATTCATCCCATCTACACATGGAAATCCCAGAGATAGATTGTTGGAATGGAATGAGTTCTCTCTCTCTTTCTGTCTACCTGGAGGGACACATCCTGTTTACCTAATTCCAGAAACTATCAGGCGCAAGTTGGCAAGTGCCAAGGCCTGAAGACCCCAGAGGTGCTTTGGGGGGGTAACTGCTGGAGTCTAACCAGATAAAAATGATAAAGTGGTTTCAAGGTTAAGGTAGATGGAATTTCAGGGCTCAAGTATGGGTGAGTGATGAGCAGTGCTATAGAGGTTGAAGCCTGCCTTAGGGGTTGTGTCCTATTTTGGGTACAGTTTGGAGAGTGTCCTTGTTGCTTTTTTTTTCACATCAATTTTTAATCCACATCAATTTTATTAATGTTATGAGGTATGGGGATGAGGCAGTGGAACTGAATGAACACCTTGCCCTGAGAGCCAGTGCAGACTCAGTGAGCCAAATGGCCTCCTTCTGCACCTTATGATCCTAGACTCCTTGGAAAATACCCAGGTTCTTATTTTTGTGGAGAGCAAATGGACTTTAAACGCCCTTAAATGTTCTTTTATCCCTCTCGAACCCCATTCAAAGTGGACCCTGTCACCTCATTTGTCGCATTAAATAGTGGAAGTGAGTGAATGGAGAGAAGCCACTTACCCGACAGAGAGGAATGAAACACAAGGAGCAGAAAGAAGAGAAAAGGGTTTGGTTAGGTCGGACTTAAACCAGCGAGAACTTTAACATGTACAGTGCAATGCCCGTGTGACAGGCACAGATGCCTTATGTAGGCAGCATGGATTTACATAGTTACATAGACAGGAAGGATTGAGAAATGGTCCAGAGGCCCATCAACTTGACTCCTGGTTCTTTCCTTAAGATAATGAACAAAGAGACAGTTTAGAAGGAATTTCTTTACCTAGAGATTGTTTGGATGTGAAAATCTGCAACTCTTTCCCCCAAAAGGCTGTTGATCTTGGATCCATTCAAATTCATATTAGCTTTTAAAAGTCAACTGGATAGATATCTAAAAAGGAGGAATTTGCAGGGCTGTGCGGGAGATGAGAAAGATAGATACATCGCTTTTTGTTGTTTTTTATCAGCCGGGTGTCCGACACATTCAGAAACCTATCACTGTGCTCAAGAGTATACAAACTAAGCTGAGAATTCCATGCATCCCACTTGCATCAGCTAAAACCGCATGGCTTTCCCACTGTCCAGTAAGCTTTCCCACTGCTTGTCCAGCTAGGACCAACCTACCTGAGCCAGGCAGGTCCACAGTATTCCAGAGCTTTGGCTTTCAGGTTAACAGGAGCTGAGTGAGATGACTCCCTGCCTCAGTGACTGGTCTACCCTTCAAGGTCCTGATGAGCTGGGCTGGGCTGTGCTGTCATCAGCAATGCCCTGGAATACTGTGGACCTGCCTGGCTCAGGAACCGGACTACTGAGACTGCCACAGAGGCTCGATTCTGACATTCCTTTGCCAGGCACCCTGGAGCCAGTTCAGCTTCAAGGAGACCCTCCTTACGGATAAATGGACCTGAAATGTGTGACTCTTTCAAAGAGCAGCACAGACAGGATGGGCCAAAAGGCCACCTTGTGGGCTGTAAATTTCTATTGTTCTATAGGAGAATTTCACCTCCCCACCCTACTCACCTCACAACATTCACCTACACATCTCCTCTCGATGTCAGCCACTTCAGAAACTAGAGGATAAAACCTTTGAGATTCCTTAAATTAGTACCAAACTGGCACTACATTAAAGACAATCTAAAGTGCTGTCAAAAAGCTGGGTAATGAGATGGACCTTGAACAAGGTGAGGAAGGGAGCCAGTCCGAGGGACTGTGAGATGGGGGCAGATAGGCTGAAAGGCTATTGTTTTGATATTGTTTTATAGTGTTGAGGGTAGGACAAAATGGATGGTGGTCATATTGTAGGGCTGTGCCCACTGCGCGAAGGGAGTGGCTGGGTCGGTAGGGTTTGAGGAGGTCGCGGAGGTAAAGTGGGACCCTGGAGGGATTTAAAGACGAGGACGAGGATCTTTGAGACAGGAGCCAACATTAGAAAGAGGGTATTGCTGGAAGAGACTAGTTCAAACTGTTTAACACTCCAGTGATTTGATGTTGTGTATTGCGAGGTTGCTCACTGCTTTGTGTTAGCTCAGGGAAGGCAAAGCTTTACTGAGTCTAAGCTTCTTAGCTCAGTGTAGACACAAAATATATCCAGGTCAGCATCTCGTATTACCAAATGGCCATCAGTGTGGAAGGCCTATTAATATTGAGGTCCTGTTCAGTTGGACATTAAATTGGCTGCCAAGTTCACCTACAGAATACACAGTCACTGCACTTCACAGTAAATCCTGTGAAGTACTTTGAAGCATTCTCCCGCAATGATGATTATTATTAACATATTTTTGCCCACAAAGGAAAGATGCAGTCAATTCACTTTACAGTCTATTTTGTGAAGCACTTTGAGATGTCTCGAAGGCGTGGTAAGGCGATGTAAGGATTATTATTGTTATCATCATCATTCCTGAACAACTTTCTCTGATCAGTTCATTCTCCTCCCATCTCTTCTGCCATTCATTAGGCCACAAGAAGACAACAACAAGTTACATTTATATAGAACCTGTCACCATATAAATATGTCCTGAGGCACTGGACAGTTAAGGGTTTGCACCAGAGCTGGGGGTTAGCATCAAGAGGATTGGCGTAGGGGAGTAGGTTTGGGCGTGTGGCCAAAGGCACAGTCAAAGAGGAAGGTCTTGAGAGAGACAGTCAGAGAGCTGGTGAGCTGGCCTATAGCAGAGCGATCTGCTAATCAGAAAGGACGTCACTCTGGCCTCTTTCGCTGATGTGTAATGCATGAGGATTACAGAAGAAGGAAGCAATCCAATTAATGCAGCACATCAGGCTGCTATTTCTACTATACACCTACTGTAAATTCTGAGGGATTGTCACAAGTACTGAGCCTATAAAATAAATGTAATGATTCACTCATAGCCCATGATAGGACGTGCCACATCGATTTAAAAATCCTCACACTCGTTTTCAAATCCCTTCATGCCCTGGCACCTCCCTACCTCTCCCACCTGCTTACAACAACAACAACAAGATTCCATTTAATGAGCGCCTTTCACGTCGGGAGGACATCCCAAGGCACTTAACCCCCAACCCACAACTCACTGCCTCTGCTCGACCGGCTCCAACCTCCTGCATGTCCATCGTGCCCTCTGTTCCACCATTGATGGCTGTGCTTTCAGCCACTACGCTCTGAAACTCTGGAACACTCTTCCTCTATCCCTCCTCCACCTTGCCGCTTTGACAGTACCTACTGTCACCTCCCATCAACTCCCATCCGCTACTATCAAGCTCTGGGATGAGGGGTGCTGTATAATTGCAAGCTGTTGTTGTATGATGTAGTCATACAGACCAGGAAACTCCCAGGCTTTATCTGTAGCCTCTCAGTCAGGTCAGAGCCCCTAAAACTTGATCAATCACAGCTTCGAAATAACAATATAGAATTAAAAAAGTGCCAGAAGCTTTATTCGTGAAAGGGCATTTGGCTTGTGAATGAACCGGCTGCCACAGGTGGTGGAAATGACAGCAGAATACCGCATATCCGCAGACCTACTATCCATCTAGAATACCTGTTTAGGTGGAAAAATTAATGATGAAAGATTCCATGTCACTGAATGAGAAGGGAATTTCTCCCTATGTCTTGGCCAATAATCCTGCAGATTAATTGATCGTACACTTAATTTCAACCAAGAACGAGTTGCATTGATATAGCAACTTTCACGCAGGGCAGGGTCTCAAACTGTTTAAAGGATTGTAAGGACACTAGCAAAACCCTTGTTTTGCCCTTGTTGTACACAAATACAATTCACATGCATTAATAATAATAATAATCCTTGCATTTGATATAGTGCTTTAGAACATTTTCGAGACGCCTCAAAGCGCTTCACAGAATATACTGTAAAGTGAATTGAATACATATTTTGTGGGCGAAATATGGCAACAAATTGCACACAGCAGTGTCCGAAAAAACAGTCGTGGATTAAATGACCAAGTTATTATTATTATTTTTTTAAGGGGTGATTACCTCCCCGGAAAAGTGATCTGCTGAGTTAGAAACAAGAGTTCTACCAAATGACGCACAGGATAAATAGAGTAAGTGTAGAATAAATGTAGTGTAAGTAAAGGCTGGGTGCATCTCAGTTCGGATGTCTCTCAGTTGGGATTTCAGGAGCAGAAAGCCTGGCTATGTAGATGGGTCTATACAGCTGCTTATCGACATTATCAATGAATCTTTATCCATGTTTTTGAATGGAAGGATCAGAGCCGAGGCCACAGTGCAAGTCCACAAGTTGCAACGAGTAGAAGTGAAGATATAAAAGTGATGCTGAACTGAATAGAAAAGACACTGGGAGGTGAGAGAGGGGAGCAAGAATGTTTAGGAAGTGAGAAGGGATTTTCTCCTGGTGACCTGGCCAACAATCCCCCCCCACCCCAAATAAAATTAAAAATAAAATAAAATTGGCTGTTTGTGGGACTGGCTGTGTGCAAACTGGCTGCCGTGCTTCACCCACAAAATACACTGTCAAGGCATCAAATAAATGCAAGGATTATTATTTGAATCTGAAAAGAGTTTAAGAGGGAACATTCAGAG